GTCTTCTGTTAGCACTAATTCTTCCTGGTCTCTGAAATGCCAGGGAAAGTGGGAGGATTTTAAAGCAGAGCTAACATGGTTTTCTGAGAGTTATCTTCTTCCACTTAGTTTTAACTCTCTTGGAAGTTCATCCAAATAAACAGCTGGTCTCTTTTTCTTTAATTTTTCATTTATTTCTTTATTTTAAATCAAAAGAGGAGAAAAAGCTTGTGAGACAGAGCTAGTTCTGGCTATCATAGCATCTTATGAACAGATAAAATAAAATTTCCAAAAGTAAGCATGCCTGATTAAACATAATGACCCTTGCTCCATTGCCAGACTGAGGTTTCGGGTTTTATTTTGTTTTGAGTGTTTTGGATGCTCATTGTTACTCTATCTGCTGAGAAGACCATTGAGGCTGCACAAAAGTAGAGCAGCCTCGGGGGAAATACTTGAAGGGCAGGTCATTTTCTCACTGTAATTTTATCCTGGGTATTCAGAGCAAACTTGCAACTGAAAACTGCCTCCACAAAAATTGTGAGTCTTTGAAGGTGTTGCTGTGTCAGCGTTACCAAACAAATGTTGGCATTTGTAGAAGTGGTGGCACTCCAGGTGCTAGTGAGAGAAAATAGTGGGTATGAATCATTTTCAAAACGTCGCAATTGACTAATTTTTTTACCTTAGCCCAATGCTGTTGTTTCTTGCATTGGTTTATGTTAACAGAATGCAAGCATTTTGAACAATACCCCCAGTACACTGTCAAATCTGTGATTTTAGAGAAACAGGGTGTTATAAATGTGTTTGACCATTATTTGGTTTGGTCCAGTTCTGGTGGTTGACTGAAGAAGACATTTACTATTTAGAGGTGATACCTAAATACAGTGTTATGCAGTAATTCAGCTGTTACAGCACCAAGCATCATGTTGTCTCACAGCTTTTATCCATAGCTGGTCTATCTTTAATAGACCCTTCCTACAAGCAAAATTCCTAGTTTTAAAACACCGTCTGAGGCAGAATGTTCTCAGCTTGGCTTTTTGGATGGTAGGTGTTTGTTATCTCTGTCTCTCTCATTTTTTTTAATTAAATTGTTCTCAAATACTTGATAACAGCTGGTGTGAGTGGTTTGATTGAATGGAGCATCTGGAAACAAGTAATCTTTTTGTCAGAATGTTTTTCTTAACAAAACCCAAAATTGTGATGTCTGACTTGTTGCAAGCTCATAAATAATATTAACTCTGAACTGGAAGAGTAGATAGAAGCATCCCATCTCTGTTAGCCTTGTCAGGCAGCAAGCAGGCATGCAGTCTAAAGCAGTGTGAAGAAGGCACAGGGGCACCAAAAGCAAATGTGAGTCTGTTCAGAAGAGTGCCAGAATTTACTTTCAAGGAAAAATTGTCTGGTTTTGGTTTTTTTGTTTGTGGTTTTGTTTGTTTGTTTTTCTTTTTAAAATTTAAAGCTACTTTCTGTTACTGCTGAGTACCTGTTTTGACACATTAAAATGATATTCTTCTGGTTTGTTTTTCTGAATTATTTCACCTCCTTTTTGAAAACTTGTCCAAGTAAAGTACAAAGCAAGAGGATGCAGAGGAAGGTGAACTTTAAAGGATCTTTCATCAGAAGAATTCAAGCATTAATTCTAACAGTTACAGCTTAATGAAAATTATTTCTGACTGCTCTTATTTCCACTCATTTCTGATTGCTTTCTGAGGCGAATAGTTGTAAAATACTTTTGAGGGCCATTCTCCATCTCTTTAGTCTCTGGCAACAACGTAAAATCTCACTTCTCAAATGAGCTCAATCAATCTATCATGTGTTTAAACAACCACCTGAAACCAGGTATTTAGTAGGCCCAAAACCAGTCTGTGCCCTCTTGTCATGAGCCAGGGAAGCTTTTCTGTGATTGAGTGTGGCAGTGATATGTACTGAAAGATGTGCGCAAATTCCCCAAATAATGTATATCCTCAGGGGGATGAGGAAGCTGTGTTTGCCAAGATAATTGTGGAACATGCTCCTTTAAGTCTC